CATTACTATACTCTACTTGCTTCTTGGTTTCTTAGTTTCATTTACTTAGAATACCTTTTTTTTTTCATTTTCTTGCCTAAATTGACGGCTGTCCTTGATGATAAAGTCTGTTTTTTTAAAACTGTAGAAAGATAAATCTTGATTTCTAATATGATCTTTTAGCTTGTGTCATTTATTGAAGGAATTGAGACCATTATTATTGGGAGACAGTTTGGAAAAGTATTTATTAATTTCTGTTATCTTGTTATAGTGGATTTTTCCCTCTTTTGAGTAACTATTCTGGTATTATTCTTTCTTTGTGTCCACTTTGTTGTAAGACCATTCATATTGAAATTTTTCTATCAGTGTCTTCTGTAGAGACAAATTAGTAGAGAGAAATTGATCAATGTGTTTATATCATGAGATGTTTTCTTCTTTGTTGATAGTTGTTGAATTTTTGCTGGGCATAGTAATCTAGGATGCCATCTGTGGTCTTTCAGAGTTTATAGAACATTTGCCCAGACCCCTCTTTTCAGAGTCTCCACTGAACCTTCAGGTTTTATTCTAATAGGTCTGCCTTTATAAGTGACCTTGTCTTTTCAACTTACAGCTTTTAGTAGCCTTTCTTTGTCCTCCATGGTTAGTATTTGGATTCTTTTATCTTATGGAGAGTCTCTTTACTCCTCCTATCTATTTGATGTTCTCATTCCTACCTGAAAGAGTCAGAGTTTGTGCTGGTAGGATGGCCCAGAAAACCAGCTTTTTTTTTTCTGCTATGGCTTAAAACCAAAACACATGTGGTCATGTTTTTAACATCATTTAAGTTTTTTCTGGCAGGATCTTTTAAAAGGGCTATAAGGTTTTTTAGCTAAAGCTGAGTAAGGAAGCCTCTCTTAAATAAGAGTGCTTGCCTCAAGCAGACAGAGCCCACCCAAAAAGTGTTGCTATCAATAAGCCATGTTTGACTCTTTTATTTTGTGTCTAGAATGACTTTACAAGCTCTCTCAGGCTTTATGTGGATGCAGTTGCCCCATGTTGGTTGCTATTCTGTTGTCAGAGGTTTCTGTACTGTCCAGTTTACACAGTCATTAAGTCCCAAAGAAATCACCCAGAGGTCTACATTAATCATAGACTGATTGGCCTCTTAGCTCAGGCTTCTTATTAACTCTTATAACTTATATTAATACATTATTCTTGTCTATGTTAGCAACGTGCCTCAGTACCTTATTTGACGACTCAGTCACATGTTGCTTCTTCTATGACTGGGCTGTGATTCAGACTAGGACTTTCTTCTTTCCAGAATTCTTCTATTCTCTCTGACCTGCCTCTACTTTCTGTCTGGCTACTGGCCAATCAGTGTTTATTTAAAATATAATTGACAGAATACAGACCATTGTCCCACACCAATGATAAGATTGTCTTTCTGTACGGTAGCAATTTATTTTTGATTTTGTTACAATATTTTCTATGCATTTGAACTGGTTTCTTCTCTTTTCTCTATGATTTTTCAAATGATTTTTCTCTGCTATATTATCTCAATGTATCTGGCTTTATGCTGAGGTATTTGATCTACTTTGAGTGGAGTTTTATGCAGAGTAATAAATATGGATCTTGTTGCATTGTTCTACATGCAGATATCCAATTACACAAACACCAAAATGTTGAAGATACTTGTTGCAAGAAACCACTTGTTCGTCTGGGCCACCCAGAACTGAAATAATCACATAGAACCTGTATTAAATCACTGTTTGGCCCATTAGCTCTAGCTTCGTATTTGCTAACTTAATTTAACTTAATCTTAATTTAACCCATTTCTATTAATCTGTATATCACCACGAGGTAGTGGTCTACCAGCAAAGAATTGACATGTCTGACTCCAGCAGCAAATCCATGATGTCTCCTAACGCTGCCTGTCTTTCTCCCAGCATTAAGCTCCATCTTCCCCACCTACCTAACTTCTGCCCTATCAACAGGCCAAGGCAGTTTTTTTATTCATTAACAAAGAAAAACAACACACAGAGAAAAACCTCCCATACCAGATACTGTCTTTTTTCCAGTGTGTATTTCTGTCTGTATATGTATAAATCAGATGTCCATAGGTGAGAGGACTTACATGTATGTTTTTCATTCAGTTCCATTAATCAATATTTATGTTCCAATACCATCTTATTTTCTATGACTGCAGCTCTTTACTACAATTTGAAATCAAGCATGGGGATACCTCCAGCAGGTATTTTTTTTCTATTTAAGGATTGTTCTAGCTATCTTTGGTTTTCTTTGTTTCTAGAATGGTAAAGATTAATAAAAATATGTCAGTAGATACAAGCATGAAAGGAATAAATCTTATCCATTACTTGTGGAAATATACCCATTATGGAAGTTAGTGAGTTGTTTCCTCAAAAGCTAAATATAGATCTTTCACAAGATCCAGCTATCCCACTCTTGTGCATATGCCCTAAGAAGTACACTATACTACAAAAACAATTGTTCATCAATATTCATAGATGTTCTATTCATAATTATTAGAAGATTTTAAACAACCTGGATGTCTGTCCATTAGTGGATGAATGGAGGATGAAGATATGCAGTATTTACAAAATAAAGTGTTATTCATCTGTTAAGAAAAATGTAAATATTAAATGTGAACATAAATAGAGCTAGAAACAATCATCCTGAGTGAGGTAGGCAACCTAACTCATGCATGCATTCTCTTATAGATAGATATTAGCTTTTAAACGTTAGGTACTTGTGTTTTATTTAGAATATAATCACAGAGTTTATATAGTTAGTCAGGGACCAGGGAGTGGAGGGGACGCAGGACAGTTGAAGGAATATGCGTGAGATAACTAACACTAAAGACTTTTTGAAAGTCATACAGGAACATACTACTATAGAAGTTTCCTGAAATTTATACATATACACATATGACAGAAATTTCAATGGATCCACCAGATAATGGGGAGATAAACTCCCCAGTACCAGAAATGGGTTACATCTTGTTGAATCTTTGATCAAAGGAATTCCATAAATCTCCCTTAAACATTTCTGGCTCCTGTTTCCTTGTTTTCTTTTTAAAATTGAGTGTCTGTTAGTGTGTGTGTGTGTGTGTGTGTGTGTGTGTGTGTGTGTGTATGTGTGTGTGTTCATGTGCTGTATGTGTGCAAATGCATGCATGCATGTGTGTGTGGAGAAGTAGAGAGATAGAGAGGGAGAGACAGAGATAGAAAGAGAGAGAGAGAGAGAGAGAGAGAGAGAGAGAGAGAGAGAAAGCATGATGCATGATGATGCTAATGTTCTTCTGATAGGTAAATACTGAGGATCTGGAAGGAGTTGGAGGAGGCAAAAAAACTATTAAAAAATTTACTGTAGCAAATTTTAGTTTTGAAAAATAGTAAGTACCAAAAAGAGAAGAAGAAAGAATCAGCAGAAGTAGTAGCAAAGGTGCATGCAGCAGAGCAGGAAAGACATGCAGGCAATCAGGAAGGTAAAATGAACAAACATGGTGAAGCTGCAGGCTTCCTGAAGTGGCAGCTAACGAGAATAAGGATGGTGGTCTCAACATCATGCAGAAGCAGAGAAGATGATTAAGTATCAAACGCATAGAGAGCTAGAGGTTCTGGGCATAGGAAGACTTCCTGAGGGATGTTGAGCTTTTGGAGCCAAAGTTCTCAGGTACACTAGAATCAACACTGGCTGGTATGAAAGACTTAAAACTCCTCAAACGTCCATAAAGCTACAGTTCTAGGCCAAGTTAATGCTGAATTATAAGTCTTCAAGAGTTGGAAAGCAAAGGATATGAAAGGTTTAGGTCTGTCTACACAAGAGCTATAGATCCTGGAAGCCTAAGACTTGTAAGAAAACTACAGCACCAGAGGGCACAACTTGGAGCTGCTCCTTCCTGCATGCTACATTCTCTCTGTCAAAATCCGAGGGCACAAGAGCTGCCAAGGACAAGCTTTTGAAAATCCTCTGGCATGTCTATGTGTGCATCCAGGCAATGTGTGCAACCCTAGCATGCTGAATGATAACACCCCAAGAACACGATCCTGCTTGCACATCAGCTGGGGTGATTTCACCACCATCCACTGCCTGTCACCATTTGTTCTGTGTCCCAAATTACAGGAAACTTCAGAGATTTCCCCACTCTTCTTGACAGAAAGACACTAGGAAAATGGTCATTTAAGTTCCCTGATATTACTAACACCTGAGAGCTTTGCCACGGTTGTCAAAACCTCCACTTTGTTATCACATAGGCCCATTACACCTGCTGGGTTTATCCATAAATATCGTTTTTATTTTTTCATAAATGTCTTAATAGTGCAGAAATGCTAAGGAATCTTTAACTTAATCACTAAAAGGAAAGCAGCGTAGCTCTTGTCTGGACAGCAACCAATTCCTTCCCATTTATTCATCATTAGATTAGTAAGTGTATTGAGTTATTTTGGGTTTTTTATGGGGTGGGGCTGGGAGAACTATTAATGAATGAGATAATACTTTAGTAAGCTCTTAAATCAAAAGTAAGTGCACTATATATCTTCTTCTACCCAGGAACCACATTCAGTTCTTGGTTGCAATAGGCACCTGCTGTATTCTCTCTTCCTGCTACCCTATGCTGAGTGGAAGGAGGGAGAAGTGTCTGGTCAGCTCACACTTTCCCTTTCAGATGTTACCTTTATTCAGAGGAATGCATGTCTTAATTACCCATGGGTAAAGCTGTTGGACATGAAGGCTTAAGTTTAGAATACCTCCCTTTGAATACATGTAAGAAAACAAACTGAGCACAAAAGATCTTTGTTATTTCTGGTAAGTAAAGTGTATGCAGTTAGGAGACAATCCATTCTTGCTAGCTGGGGAAATCGAAAGCTAAGTACAATGGGAGGAGGCTTCTCTTCTTCAAACCTTCACTTCCAGGAATAGCAGAATGCAAGCCACCCAAGGTTGCTCAACCTGAAGTGGAGTAAAACAACTCAGACTGATGTCATTCTTCTCATCTTTAAAAACACTTCGTGTTCTGGGCAGCTGAGAGATTGCAACATACTGGTCCAATCACTGAGAGATTTATTTTCTTACTCAAATGAAACCAGTCCTGATTCTTGCCTTGCAGATGAACTAGGATCTGGACACTGCTGAAGAAATTTCTGAGAAGGTGAGTCCCGAACCCCGCTATGTAGAGTTGTGAGTTCTGTGAACCCACAAAGGCACGGGGGCAATCAATGCTGTTTCTTTCAGAGGACAATGGAAGGAACAGGGCTTGTACCCACTGCTTTTAGGGAAATGAACCCACAGCAGATAGATTCTGATGTTTCACTAGGGCAGATGGCAGACATTTTTATCCCACACTTACTGGGCCTTGAGCCAAAAAAAAAAAAACTCTGCATTTTGATTATGGCAGATAATAAAATAATTTTTTAAGTATAAGTATGAGTAAAGGCAAAATGAGAAGAAAGCTTTAGTTATCTTGGCTGGAGAGTAAGGAGTAACTTCTTGGCTATTTTGATTACTCTGAAATATTTAATGAAAATATATCAGGACATGGAGCTGCACTCTAGTGTTCTGCACGTGAAACAATGGACATGTATAGCACAAAGTTCCACAGATTCAGTTATTCAAGTACATCTTTTTTATTCATCCACCAACATACTTGCTATCTTTTACAGCAGCAGTATCTCAATCACAATGAGTTAGTTCCTGTCATCTTGAAAGTTTTTTGTTTTCTTTTGTTTTACATTGCTTGGATTTGTTTTTAGTTTTCTGGTGGAAAACATAGGGGTATTCAGGAGAGTTAAATAGAAATATATCTCTACTACATACTTTTTGAATATTTTAAAGGCTTTTCATGTACCCTGTAGAATTTCTAATATGTACTTGAACAGAGTACTTTAAAAATGATTTGAGACATGTATATATGTAATGCTATCTCTCCTGGTGTTTTCTTTATGTTTTTCAAACATTTTAAATTTTTTACAGATGTTTATACCTTGATAGTTTAGTAATTGAGAAATATACTGCTGTATCTATCACAATGTTCTGGGTTTTATCAAATTCACTGTATGCTCTTTCACATACACATGAAGAATATATGTATGCAACTTTTCATTTGGAAAAGAAATATTCCGTGTTGCTACTTATTATGATCCTATCAAGAGACACAAAATACTAAGAATTACCATACACTATTAGTGGTATACAATCCCAACATTTAAAGAATTAAGGGTATGTTCTGGTTGCATTTTGGCAACTTGGCACGAGATAAAGTTATCTGGAAAGAGATTCCTGGGTTAAGAAAATGCTTCCTTTAAAATTGCTTGTAAGAATGTGTGGACGTCATACTCTTGATTAGTGATTGATGTGAGTGTGTAACCCTGTGGGTGCAGTGCTTCTCCTGTGCAGGTGGTCCCGAGTGCAGAGCAAGCCATGAGAATCAAGTGAGGAATCAGTGTTCCTCATGGCTTCTGCTTCAGTTCCTACCTTCAGGTTCCAGCCTTGAATTAATTCTCTGACTTCTTTCACTAAAGGACTGTGATTTGGAATGAAAAATTGCATGAACTCTTTTCGTCCCAAGTTGGTTTTGGTCATGATCTTTTATCACAGCAAGAGAACCTGTAACTAAAAGAGAAACCGGTGCATGGTTTGTGGGATATTATTGTGACACACCTGACTAGGTTTTGGGAAGAATTATGAATGAACTTTGTAACTTTGGACTCTAAAAGCAATTGCATATTTAGAGATTAGTGTGGACTATTGTGGGAACTTAAAAAATAATGCAGAGGGCAGTGCAGATGACGGAGGCCTGACTTGGACTTCAGAGGGAAGGTTAAACGTTCCCTAAAGAATCTACTGAGATGACTTAATATTTTGAATTACAGCTGTGATTCTGGTCATCTGGCATTGAAGAATTGGCTGTGATTAAGAAGAGATCAACATTATTGAGGAATAATATGGGAAGTATCTTCTCACTCAGTTCTTAGAGAAATTTTCAGAAAGCCAGATTTTTATAGTTTCTAATTTTCTAATTATTCTCTTATGAGTGTTGAAAGACAAGTGTATATAATAAAAGTTTAATTCCACTCCTACTTAGTAGAGTAAAATTAATAGGTTACCAACAAGGAAGGAACTATGAGTAGTCTTGTCATAGGTTTTCCATCTCAGAAATGGTGCCGGGTATTGGTTTCAACTTATACATGATAGAGATCAAATCAAAAAAAGGATGCTTAATCCTACAATGTTCATGCCACAGTTACACCAGTGACCATGTGTTGACAGACTGTTTGTTACCTCCAATAATCTACAACCGGGTAAGGTTAATGACTATTTTGCTCATCTGAAAGGTATTGTGTAGAATACCTTCCGGAATATTAAAATCTATCCAGTAAGGATGAGGCTTCCAGGTGAGTATCAACTTGATTTGTTTGTGTTCTGTTACACATGAATTTGGTGTCTTCAGTAATACATTCTGAAATACAATCAAGAGCGTTGTCGACAAGCTATATGTTGGGGGAATATGAGAACTGACTGGCCAATAACTTTAACAGAGAAAATTCATTCCTAGAACTGGGCATTTTGTTAACCTATGGTGTTTATAGAATCTTGTTGCTCATTATACAGTAACTACATGTAAATTCTTGATATATATTATATAAAACAAATGATGGATGGCAGATAGATGAACAGATAAATAGAGTGTATATTATATCATTTCACATACCATTTTATATTATATTATATTTTAGGAAACTTTATATCAGTAGGCTTCTATGTTAGCTTTTGTAAACATAGTGTTAGTTATTTTCTCTCTCTATTTCCTCTACTATCCTACCCTCCCACTAACGAACCCATTTAACTTTTGTTTTCAAAGGTTTTCCAAACAATGAAAAAGAAATTAGACATACCACAAACCTTGACAATAGGAGTGCATTTTGTATATTTTGCAGCAAATGACCTCAAGAATAAAAATAAACATAAATGGGATGAATGCAGATTATTCTAGAACTTCCTTTATATTTTAGGAGAAAGAAATATTTTTGACACATTAAGAAAGTTTTAAAAGATCTGGGGAGGATTTAAGCATGGCTTTTACGTAAAAATTCTGTCTATGTACAAATAGAAACACTTAGTCAAGCCTGAAAGGATAAAAATCAAGAAACTACTGATATAACTCCATTCAATAAAATCTAGGGTGCTACTCTGAAAAGTATGTAGACATTTGGGATATTGACAGCAATATGAACAAAAAAGGACCCAAAGTGCACAATCAGAGCCCAGGAGGGATAGTATGCTCATGAGGGGTGTTTGAGGGAAAGCCTAGCGGACAAGGGTCAGTGGCTCAGCATGGCCATGATACTTGAGTCATGGTTCATCCAGGTATACTGTAATAGGATGGAGTCCATTTGCTTATAGGTCACTTTACAATGGAAACAGTCAGGAACCCACAAGCAGATATCCAGAGATGAACTATAGCACCAAATAAGAAAGGAAGAAGGACACAGAATTTTGACACACATAGCACAAATCTAAACAAACACTGCAACAATTACTGATCCAACACTTTACTTCACCACAACTGCCTCTGGTCTAAGTGACCTAACATGTCTAGAAGGGGGAAGCTTCGTAGACTTGTTTATTAATACAGAAGTTCTTTATCAGTTTAGCACAGTGACACAGATTATATTTAACTCTATTTTTCTCTCACATGCAATTATAGATATTACCTTTTGGGGTCATTCACTCACACAGAAATATCTGCCTTGGAATTGCCTGTATATGTGCATAATCCTATGTCTGCTTACATCTATTTTCATCTTTTAGGATTGTCCATAATTTTAGAGATAATGAGTGAATATAAGAAAATAATTCTTCTAAAGGGATTGGAGCGTATGGAAGACTACCACTTTAGGGTAATCAAGTCCATACTAAGAAGCAAACTAAATCTATCTAAAAAGATGCAAGATGATTATGACAGAATTCAGATTGCTGACTGGATGGAGGATACGTTCCCAAAAGATGCAGGACTGGACACACTGATAGATGTGTGCCAAAGCATCAAAGAACTGGAAGGCCTTGCCAAAACCCTTGAAGCAGAGAAGGCAAAAGGTAACAGGGACCAACGGGACACTCATCCCTTCTCCACCCTCCCCAAGAGGTCTAGTTCCCTGCAGGGTTCAGAGCTGATCTGTAGCTTTCCCAGGGCGTGCCTTAGAAACAGCAAGGGTGGAAACATTTCAGAGCAAATCAAGTTGGTGATTTCAAAAAACTCTTTCTTACAAAAAAAAAAAAAACTCGATATATTTCTCATAGACATCTTTTGTTTTGTAGGTAAATAAAATAAAAACAGTTGTTGAGGTAGAGTAGAATACCTATCGTGGTAGAAAAACAAGAAAATGATAAAGGAAAACTTGAAAAAAAATCACTTAGAACATTTAAATAAATTTAATACTTTATTAACAATCTTACCCATTAATGGATATCTATTCTGGTAAAAAAAATGTGATCTAATATTTAAGTAGAAGCACAAATATAAGAGATGTGAATGAGTTTCTTCATATAAAGACACCAGATTTTAAAAATATTGTGACCCGTCCAGCAGGCCACATAATTCGTGAGCCTCGAGTTTGGGATCACCTGGGTAGGAGTGGGGGGGAAGAGAAAGAGAACCAAGCGCATATAAAGAATGACAGAGTCAGTCTGAGATGCGTCTAGGTTCCGTTTATTGCAGGCAGGGGTTTATTCTTATAGAGAGGTTTTGGTAGGGAGGGGTAGGGTTAGAGGGGAAAGGAAACTATTGCGCCCTAGGCCAGGGAGGAAGCAATATGTCTCTTGAGACATCTTGTGGTTAGGCCATGTTTTGGAACACCTTGAGGTTAGGCCGTTCTGAGAACTGTATCACAGCTGTTTGTGCAGCAAGCTGTTTTTGCAGCAAGCTGTTTTTGCAGAGAGGATGAGGAAGATTGGCCAGTACTTTAGGTCGGGGGGCTTCTTGGTCCCCATCAATATTGAATGTACTGGTACACAATTCTGACCTGTGAATTTAGCATAAGGAACCTCAGTCAAGAAAACCTGCAGACTGAGAATACCCTGAGTTACATAGAAAGATATATGGCCAATAGAGAAGTCAAAATCCAATGTTGCTGGTTTGTTACATCAAATATCGAAACATAATTCTTTATCATTATTTATGATTTGGAATTATCTTCTTTAGAAGGTGACCTATTAGTATTATGATAAAAGTTTCATGTTTTTAAAATAAGACTGTTGGATAAGAGTGACAAGCTTATACAAATATGAATATATGTTCCCAACATAGAGAAGCTAATTCCACTACAGCTGGGTTGAGCAGAAAATCCCCTGAGGTAATTCCTGTATCTGACTTGTTACCACTGAAATCCTCCTATCCAGGCAAAGCCTCTGCAGCAGAAGAAAATAAACACACAGACACAAGTAGAGACGAAATAGTTCTTGAAATAGTTGCTGGATACTTGATCACATTTTCCACCAGGAGATTGCGTTATTATTTGGGGGAAAAGCTCCCCCCCAAAAAAACTGTTGGTAGAATTTGGCCTGCCTCAGCCCTAGCACACACCTTTAATCCAAGAGTTTTCAGCTTAAATATTTTAATAGGATCTTAAAAAGTCAACCATAGATGAAGGGGCGGAGCAAAAAACCAATTGAAAGGAAGTAAACATAAGACTATTAGTTTAAGAAAAAAACATCAAGAGTAACAGAAAGTCAGCATGATGGATAGAGAGAAGCACAGGAAGTAGAGCGAAGGACATTGAGCTTGAAGGATTTTGGTTTGACGTGGTACTGGAAACAGGAAATTATGGAACACCAGTGGAAAAGGAAAATCAGATGGTTGCTATCTCTGTCTCTGTGAGCTAGCAGGCTTTCATCCCAACATCTGTCTCTTAAGTTTTTACTCGTAAAATTAAATGATAGCGGTTTTGTTAAAGTCGACATGAAATTATTGTCTTTCTCTAAAATCATTAAGGAAAAGAAAATAAAATATCCATTTATAAAACTGAAAGAAAATAAATAATTCTGAGTGAGCTTCAACCATCTTAATCCCTGGATTTACTGTGTTTCCTTTATTCCAATAGTTCAGAAGCAAAAGAAAGGAAAAAATAAAACTGCATTGGGAAGAAGAAAGCAAGATGAACCCAGTAGTTCCCAATCTCTTTCCACCGGTAATGAATCAAACAAGGTAAAGTGGCTAATCTCCAGACAAAATGCTTCTACCCAGGTTCTTCCCCTTCTTAACTCTTTAGGAAGATTTAGCACTCTATCTATCTAGTCCAAGGCTCTATGAAAATGAAGTTCTAAGTCAACAAATTCATCGTGGCCTATAACTCATTTTGTGGCAGATATACTGGTGCAGTATAATCCCTCAAGGATGTAAACAAAAAATCACTATGTGGCTTTTTAAAAAACCATTTACTAAATTATCAGGCACTTTAGGATATGACTCTTAAAACAATTCAACCTGAATATGAACTTTGTTATTCCACAGCTATTTTCTTATGACACCACAGGAATAAGTAGGATGAGATAAATGTAACTTTTTAACCCCTTTATATGACAATTCTTCATGTCTTAGTTAGGGTTTCTATTTCTTTGAAGCAATGTCATGACTACTGCAAGTCTTATGAAAACCATTTAAAGGAAGCTTTCTTATATTCAAAGGGTTAGTCCATTATTATCAATGTAGGAAGCATGACAGCATGCAGGCAGACATTGTGCTAGAGAAACTGTATAGAAAAGCACATCTTAGCATGGACAAAGCTGGGGTTCAATTTCCAACACACAGGAAAATCAATAAAGAAAGACATTGTTCTTTCAGAAAAAAAGAAAGATGCCCACAAAAACCGAAGGTAGCAAGAAAAGGAAACTTACACAGGAGCAGACTCAGCTTCCAGAACCTTCAGTAAGAAACACACAGAAAGATGAAGGTTGTCTCCAGACCTCTCATAAGCCTCCACCGACACCATTGTGCAGTTCCTCCAACAAGGTATCACTTTCCTATTCCCAGTGCTTGCCCCTTCCTGAAGTTTAACTGGGCTCACCACAGCCTTAGAAAAATATCTCATTGATCCCCTACTTCAGAGATTTTCCTCCTATTATTAAATATCTCATTAAGTTATTTATTCATTTATTACAGCCACCATGGTAGTGAAAAGGTAAATATTCATGAAATGATTTCTAAGGCTGTGAATGAACTTTCTGCTTAGGGTTCAGAAGGAAGTATAAAGGAGACAGATAGAGATGAACACTGGAATATATCAATCCCCATTGCCTATTTTCTTCTCAGTCCTTTTCCCTTTGCTAGTAGCCCAACTTCAGGGGATGTTTTCAACATTCTGTGTTCCTCTAAGCAGGTATTTTGACACATGCTGTTTACCTGCTTTGAAGTCTTTAGCCTGTTCATTCACTAACTAAATACTGTGTAATTGTAAGGGTTCTTTTGCTGGGAGTCAGATTCAGACCCCTTCTAGGCATACACTAAACTCTCCCAGACATTTCTCATTGAAGGGTTCCTGTTCTTATTTTGATGCCTTCTGAACATAATTACAACCATACTAACCATGAAAATAGTTCTCATACAATCTCCTAATCTTGTACATTTTCTAATCTTCAAATTAATGCCCTCATCTAATCTACTGTTCCATTTATATTAGAAATATACTTTCTGATATAAAACACATAGTTGAGGAATCATGGTTAAACACTGCTACCAATAGGGTGACGTCTACATGTTTCCGAGTTGAATTTCAGGGAGGGCTACCTCTTACAGCTGCCTTCATGAAATGTATCCATGTTGGCCATGACTGCCAGCATGCTTCTACTTTGAGTTCTACCGTGTTGCCCTCATTTCAACGTGTTCTCCTGATGCTCAAAAATGGAGTAGGAAACCGAGAAGGCTGGTGATCAAAGTAAAATGGTTCGAAAACTTTTCCTGGTCCCGGGATTCTCCTCCATGCCTGCTATTATGCAAAAAGAAGAACTGCTTGTCTGAATCCTTTCTGATTAACAACATTTAAGGGGCACTTCCTGGGGCTGCCTGTCTAACCCTTTTACCAGAAAGTTTGACAAGTTAGCCAAGATTTTATAACTAAAATCTTAAGAATGTTCATACATAAAAATAGACTAGAGCATTGGGGGCTTTGTGTTCATACCCCATGACTGTAATAAGTATAATCCTTTTATTTACAAGGTAAAAATAGCATTAACTGGAAACTCTAGGTAGGGATTTAAGTAAATGTCCATTTCTCCCTTTATCTAGGTTATAGATTGCGATCATTGTTCCGACGTTCTCCGTGGTACTCAGTGAGATTATGGAGTTGTGCCCTATGATCTGTCTGAATTAGGCATGTTTATCCTCTGTGTTTTTTATGTAGACACCAAGGACGGGAAACATACCAAAGGAACCTGTTAAGGAAGAAGGTTACCATCGAGAACCCAAAGAAGTGATGGTTTTGAAAGTAACAGAACCATTTACTTATGATTTGATTGATGACAAAAGGATGTTCCATGCCACAGTGGCGACTGAGAATGAATTCTTCAGAGTGAAGATTTTTGACCCAGTGCTAAGGAATAAGTTCATTCCAAATAAGATTATTGCCATATCAAATTATTTTGGCTTAAATGGCTTTCTGGAAATACACCAAGCTTCCTGTGTGTCTGATGTAGACAAGAAGAGAACGATGGCTATCTCAAATACACTGAGGCAAAGAGCCAATACGACTCCTAAAATTAGGGATCTTTTCTCACAGGCACAGGGGACATATGTGAATGGAGAGTTTGTGGTCTATAAGGTAAGCCATTGTGATACTTGGGAAATTCCTTTTGCAGTCTGGGATTTTAAGTTTTAACTTGTCACTGGAATTTGCTCAACTTATTTAACACAGTAAATAACTGCTCTTCATATCAGAAAGAGATGAGTACAGTTTCCTCATTTGGGGATTGGGAGAGTCTCTTATCATTCTTCTCCACAAGGTAAAACGATGAAAAATCTTTGAAATCGATTCATCAATAACCTTTGACATTTTTCTACCAGGAACATTCCATTATATCCATCTTTTTCACAGACACTATTCAATTTATAGCACACTTCCAGATTCTTATTCTTTGATAGCTTCAATACCCATATTATTAGCAACTGAGTTGCAAAAAGAGCCAAACTCAAAGCCTACATACAGTTTGAGATGATGAGAATAAAAAACAAGAGACTACTCTGCTCCAGATTGAAGGCATGACCAATAAGCCAAGATTATTTCTTTAATAATCTTGTTCTCATTGTAATATTCTTTACATTGTATAAAGCACTTTTGATAGGGTGACTAATGTTTTAAATAATAAAAGGAAGAGGAGTTTTACAGTCTAGTTTAATTTCACAGTTAATAACAAGGCACAACAAAAGTGATGAAATTCAACAAATCTGTGACTTTCTGGGGTTTCTTTAAGGCCAATGTACCAATTCATTAATATGCTTATTAAGTGTATGATTTCATAATTCATTGTTTATGAATCAGCCATGGCTTTTTAATTTATCTATGCTGTTTTTGACTGTGCTGGTGCATTTGGTTACACAATTAATAAGTAAACTAAGTGGGACTCGAACTTAAACGCCAGGACTAAAAGCTGTAGATTTTACATTTGAGTGATTAGGAAGGAGTAGAGTGAACAATGTGTGCACTGAGCAAATGTGATCCATTTAAAACGGAGGTGAGTGTGTTTGTGTGTGTGTGTGATGAGTGAATGTAACAGTCCTTCTGTCTGTCTGTTAATATCTATTTGTATGTCCATGCATTTGTATCACATAGTATCTCTTATTTCTGTTAGTGTGTTCCTTTTGTTTCATTCTTGTTGGTTTTCTTCTTTATTCACCTGTTTGTTTTCTTAAGAGAGAGAGAAAGAAGCTGTGGAGTTGGAAAGGTAGGGAAGTGAGGATAAACTAGGAGGAGTAGAGAAGGGAAAATTATGATCAGATTAGGTTACATGAAAATGAGTTTATTTTCAATAAAAATTGAAATAAATTAAATTAAAAAAACTTAGAGTAGTGTTTCTCAGACTGACAACGAGTCACAAGTAGCCTTTCTTCTCAGGCATCCTGGAGACACCTAAGAAACCTGCAATGGTAACTAAACGGTTATTGCATTTTATTCTTGTTTTCATTTTTTTTGTCCCTAAAGAAATCTCAGATATTCCTATATGTTACCATAGTACTTAGAAATATACTCATTTTTTCCCTAAAAACACCCAGCAGAAGAAATCCTCAAGTAGGTAACACATAAGAGTGGCTTCCAAGGGCTGCAGTGCTGACCCAATCATTAAGGCTAGGCCCACAAGGCTTCAAGAGGGATTTCAAACAAAACATTTGTTCACTAAAACATCTTAAACTCTCTTGTGCCTGAAAACTTTTTTTAGTTATTTATTTTGTCTGTGAGGGATGGGAAGAAACACAAAAACTTTTAAAGTAGTGTGGAAGTCATGAGAGAACTCCACAAATGAGTTTTCTCTTTCTACCATGAGAGCTGCTCATTGAGACCAGGTAATCAGGCTTGCCAGCAAGCACCCTTCCCCACTGAACCATTTCACTGGTTCCTGTACCTCTGATTCTAAACCTAAGAGCGATCTTGCCTTGGCAGGGACAGGTTTATGCCGACACTCTTTATTCCTCATAGAGGTGACAAGCTTTGACACATTTCCTAAAAGATGAATGTTAACTTGCTTTTCAGAAAACTGAGAGGAATCCCTTCATTTACTATGGAATTGAAGATGATACAGGGAAAATGGAAGTGGTGGTCCATGGAAGACTGACCAATATAAAGTGTGAGCCAGGCCAAAAACTTCGACTCATCTGTTTTGAATTGTCCTCAAGCAAAGATACATGGCAGCTGAAGTCTGTAAGACACAGTAACATGCAGGTGTGTGCTCTGAAATTTAATATTATTAAGAATCATTCATATATATGATTTCATAAATACATATATATCGTGTACTTTTCTGTTGATATTACATATACAATCCAATAGAAATAAAAATTAAACTTTTCATGTTTAATAACAAAGTTCCTTCCACTACCTTTTGAGTAAATATTTTTAAATTATACTAAAGAATAAATTCAAAAAAATCTCAAAAGTTGTTATATGTTTAGCTAATGACAAAAAGTATTTCATTTATCAAAGCAGAGAGATAATTTGACAGGACTCAGGTAATTAAGATGTTTGTTTTAAATTATGACTCTTTGATTTTTCAAACTGAGCAAAGACTAAAGCACAAAGAATCTTGGAGCCTTCATGTATAATATTCAAATACTGTCTGTTGCAGAGCATGATGTACATAAATCATAAGTTCCAAAGGATGCCCTGGGCAAATCAGACCACAATGTGCTAATATCCACAATCCTTGTTATACTTACACATTGTGTGGGATTTATTTTACACTTTTAAAATGGCCACTATAACCACGTGAACTGAAAAATAGAAGGCATCACATGTTCATTCACAAAGAAACGCTCTTACAGCACCTTGGTTCTCAGACCACCAGCCAAAGGTTTAAAACTTCCCCCATGGCGGCTGCAACAACAAAGTCCTTTCTCCCTCCTCCCAGCCTGCCTGTTTAATGAGTCTCTAAACTCAGTCTCTCCATCAAGGATGGAAGCTCTTTTTCCTCCCCTCTGGAGCTCTGTGTCATACACAGCCCTTCCAACTGTGCTCAAGTCTGTAGGTATTACTACTTTCATAGTCCCAAGTAGGGAAGAAAGCTGACTCCAAAGCCAGAGAGGCATTAAAAAGATAGACCAGTGAAAAATGGGACGTGACCTATAGGGTCCCATCAGTATCAATGTAGAGTGTTTGGTGCCATTGAATTTCACTTGATCTGACATCATCATCTTCTTCTTTAAGGTTGTCAATGTCAGAAAGAAAGTCCCTCAAGCCTGATTCAGATCTGAAAACCTGGATGCCAAGGATACTGTTTATGGAGATAAGATCCAAGTCCAGAAAATAAATGTATATATGAACTGTTGCAATACTATATCTATGAAAGCCAGCTCCTTTTTATGGTTTTCCAAGATAGGATTTCTCTGTTTAGCCATTGTTGTCCTGAAAATCACTTTGTAGACCAGGCTGGCCTTGAACTCAGAGATCTACCTGCCTCAGCCTTCTGAGTGCTGGGATTAAAGGTCTGTGCCACCACCATCAGACCTGTTCTTAATTCTAGGAAATGGTACTTTCTTATATTCTTTATAAACTTTTGTATGATCTAAGTTCCATATTTTTATCAATAACTTTTATACTTGTTAATCTGTAAGTTTTACAAATAAAACTTAAATATAAACCACATTTACAATAAAGCAGTGCTTCCTTCGGGATATCTGTCAGCCATTTGAGAATTGCTGTCAAATCAAAAGTATAGAATACATGCTTCACGTGTGAAGTTAAGGACAAAGCATGTTAAAGAACAAGTAGACCACATATGCTCCAGAAAAACTAAGGCATTAATAGACACAGAAGATTGAATTCAGCCTTGAGTGCCATTTCTAAAGCTAGTCTGGTGAGGACAGGAGAAGTCTTCAGGTTCTTTTTGTTCAACAAATTTGAGTGTTTCATAGAGTTTAATTATTTGAGCAAAGAATCCACAAAAGTGAGATGTTTTATGAGTGGGGATTATTTTCAAGAGTATGGATTCTCAACTCCAATTCTATAATGAAATAATGTCACTGGAAACTTTGAGATAAAAATGAGTAGGCCCTGTGGTAAAGGAAGTAAGAAATTAGTCAGTCCCCATCTCCCATTACCCACAAGATTCGCTGAAAACGCATGGGATAAAACTGAACTCTCTGAACATGGCGAACAATGAGGGCTGATGAGACGCAAAGGACAATGGCACGGGGTTTTGATCCTGCTTAATGTGCTGTCTTGGTGGGAGCCTAGCCAGTTTGGATGTTCACCTTCCTAGATATGGACTGAGGGGGGAGGACCTAGGACTTACCACAGGGCAGAAAACCCTGACTGCTCTTTGGACTGGAGAGGGAGGGGGAAAGGAGTGTGGGAAGAGGGAGAAGGGTGGGAGGAGGGGGAGAAGGGTGGGAGCAGAGGGAAGGAAATGGGAGGCTGGGAGGAGGTGGAAACTTGTTTTTTTTTCTCCTTTTCTCAATAAAAAAATAAAAAATAAAAAAAACAAAGTAATTGAATACTGTATTTTTGGTTTTTTAACATGATCATCTTATTGACATTGACATTGATGTATATAATAAGATGTAGCATAAACACAATGTGGTTTTAATAAAAAATTCATTTATAACAAGCCAACTTGCTGTTACATGACCATTGAGGACACATACTGTGGACTAGTAAGAGATCTTTTTATTTATACACAGATACCATGTACATCAGAGGCTGACATTAAATAAACAAACGTTTCAGATGAAAAAAAAAAGAAATTAGTCAGGATTCCCAAAGAGGCCTTTCTGGAGTACTGTTTATTTCTCTTACTGCTATAAAAATGGACTGACTGCTGCTGGAGCTCCTTCCACTCTTTTAAGATACCAGCCCACTTGGGAGTGGTCTTTTTTGTTTTAAAAAGCAGCAGTAGCCCTGCTCTTCCTCTCTTGCCTCTGACTCCTAGACTCAGTTCCTGATCATGCAGAGGGCTGTTGTCTAGGACAGTGATCTATAATTTTTCACCTTAAATAAATAACCCTTTTATTAATCAGAATTCCAAACTGGTGTGTGATTGTTTTGTGACTTACTTCTATATTTGATGCTCACATAAATTTGGAAATCCATGTCTTATTTCCCAAACTAATATCATGGAAATTTGGGAAGGGGACGGGGGGTTAGTTCATGGTCACTTCCCATCAATATATCAATGCAACTTGAAAATCATATGTGAAAGGAAATTCTATTGTTGGTTTTGCTATTTTCATCTTTCTTTTATTTTTTCCTTTATTTTCGGTTTATTCTCCTAGCACATGTGGATGAGATAGGCTAGCATGGCAAACAGCTTAGCCACTTGAGACCTCACTTTTCTTGTTTGATAACCACAGTTACACTTTCCAGCCTGAGACCATTATCTGCATCCCCTGTATACACACATTCTGCTGTCCATATTTCTAAAACCTATTTACCGCATGGACAACCACCATACATCAGGTCACAAATAAATATATAAATGTTGGAAATAATGAAAATGATTACTGTCCTTAGAAATAGTTAAATATATTACTTATATTCAAGTATTTCACAAAATCTTTTTGATACCAAAAAAATACCGATGTAATCCAGACTAGACTAGTTCAGGTACATGTACAACAAGACAAACTGTGTCCTCACAAGGAACATTTATGACTAATATCATGCTTCCACCTTCCTCCTATGTATAATTGTGTGTATATAGTCAAATGAAATACTGTGTTGAAAGGACATGCACAGGAAGTAAATGCCTACCTAATCTAAGCCTGTCAGTTGAAATGAAGATCCACCCATGTCACACCCCCACAGCACCCCAACACCTTCTCCTGAACTCCATGAAAGTGGCTCCAAACAAAAGCTGTGGCCCTTGAACACCTTTTTTCATGTGACCCCTTTTCTCTTCACACATATTCCTGTCTGCTCTTTACTGTCACTGTGCTTTGAGAAAAGTTTCAAGGCTTCTTTATAATCTGGATGAGCCTTTAACTAAGTTTTTGAATTAACAGGTAAGATTTTAGAAACCTTTGGCTTGGATTCTGACCACCACCATATACTGCAACAAAGATACAAGAAGAAACCACACCAAATGCTGGAAGTTATTTCTTGAATTCCCAAACTTGCAGATCTGTATTTCATTTATCTTCCTTATATAACACTTTAGCAGTAGTTTCCTGACACACCAAAGAACAGAGAGAAGAAAATGATGATTTTCCATAAAAGAAAGAGACAGGGAATTGTATCTTATACAGACCGAATGTTTCAATTTGTGTAGTGCACAAATGCATTGCAACAAAGATAAGGGTAACAGTGAAAAATCCACTTACACAAAGTAGACTGCAACCATTCTTTGACTGTTTTGTATGAAAATTTTCCTCAGGAGGTGTAAACAAGTATCTACTCACCCCAGACCAAGATCAGATCCAAATTTTTATTGTGTTTCTTATAGGAATATTGAAAAAATATTACTTATAGAAGCAGAAATGACTCAAAGAGAGCTATGTCACCAGTTCATCCCACAATGAGCATCAGCACACAATAGAAAGAAATCTGGAGCACCCTTGACAGACTGTAGACAATACAATGCTTTGGAGAGTGTATGCTTCATGTAGTTCAGGTGGTCAGAGCCCATTCTGCACAAACTGATTGGTGTCTACTTTTTCCAGGCATATTAGCTTGTCTGAGAGTGCCTAGCATCATCCTGGATATTCTCGAGGAAGGAGGACAGAATTATATCTGGTTTCTGGGACTTCTAAATCGTCAAAGTTGTTTAATTCTTGACCTTGATTTTACTTGCAGGATGCGAGTGTCCACCCATTATTGAAATATCCTGCTATTCTGCATCCTTTTGTCAACTCCCTGTATTTTTATCAATCTTTCCTCTACAGTGAAAGATTTTGATTTCTTTTTACCGGGAGATGCTATTAATTCCTGAGGTACAGATGTAGAAACTGCAGGGGCCACAGTGACTCCATTTCTCTCGAGACGCATAGACAGAAAGTTAATGTTTGTAAAGGCCAAATAACAGGTTGTTTGATTAAGGTTGTGCTTACTAGATGTGTTGAGTATTAAGGAGGTTATTATGATTGTTTGTTCCTTGTATCATTGATTTTTTGCATTCTCCTTTTGCTTAGGGTATTAAGAACTATGATTTATAAACTTGGGCTTTTTCAGTATTCACTGAAAAGCCTTCCAATTCTATCTTCTGTCTTTTGTCTCTTTCTCAATCCTCAATCTACTTTCATGCATAATAGAACAAGTCAGCTCAACTAGACAAGGAACAAGCTTGGTGACTGCGCAATTGATAACTTCTTACCAAGTTTTGGGCTCTCCTATACAAATGTGACTTCCTTGGGCAAAAAAAAAAAAAAAGTGTCAGTCACACATCCAGCCAGATGACCCTGAGATCAACTCTGACTGTATAGAACAATGTACAGATACTCTTAGTAAACTGCAATTTTAGCCCCTGTCTTTCCTCTCAAAGATACAGTTTCAGTGATGCTATTTCAAATGCTTTCTATCCGTCTTTACTTTTTGTGCAATAAAACTTGAGGAATCCACATGATCTGGGAATCTTTTCTATCTAGGCTAGAACCAGAGCACTTCCTCAACACTTAAGAGAAATACTAATATAATTAGAGCAAATAAGATATTTCCCTTGAGTGTGATGCACTTCTATCTCGTCTACAGAAATCCTTCTCTGCTATCAGCAAACAGCTCAACATACTGTGTGAAAATTGAAAAACAGTCCTCTCAAGATTAGTCCTAATATAGGACGCCTGTGCCGTTATTATTATTATTTTGGCAGTGAAGGACAAGCTGGTAGCATGAAAAAATGATCACCCATTCAGTCATTTCCCTGGTCTTGCTTCATCCCTTTGTGATTCTCTAAAATGCAAGGTATCCACCTCTCTCCTTACAAGGGACTCAGAGCCATCATACTTGACAGGAACCCATGTTGCCCACCTGCTTACCTGTACCCTTCTTTGTCTCCTCCATTCTGCTCTCTCCAGAGTACTCTTAGAGCATTTGCTGCCTTCTTACTTCAGCCCCTGCACATAGGCTATCTCCATTCATATAAGACTCACTGATTTCCATGGCCATAGCCAAGGTAACTCTGGTTATTTCTCTACTCTTCTTCCTAGAGCTGGAATCTAAGACCTGTTTATCAGAACTATGGAGCCAGCCCTTCCCTTTATACCTCCAAGTGTTTTTGAACCTGTGGGTTACATTCCTTTCATAGGGTCATGTAAGATCATCTGCATTATGTCATAACTGTCATTGCAGTTATGGAGTAGCAATGAAAATCATTATGTGGGCAGGGTCACCACAACATGAGAAACTGTACTAAAAGGCCAGCTTGACTGGGACTGAACGAGCATGTGATCAAACTGGACTCTCTGAATGTGGCTGACAATGAGGGCTGACTGAGAAGCCAATGATAATGACACCGGGTTTTGATTCTACTGCATATAGTGGCTTTTGGGAGCCTAGTCTGTTCGAATGCATACCTTCCTAGACCTGGATGGAGGGGGGAGGGCCTTGGCCTTCCCACAGGGCAGGGCACCCTGACTTCTCTTATAACTGAAGAGGGAGGGGGAGAAGAATGGGGGCAGTGGTAGGTAAATAGGTGGATGGGAGGAGGTGGAAATTTTTAATA